GTTTCCGATATCTAAATATAGGCTTCCAATATATCAATCTTTATGTCTCGACCATTTAGAGACTCCTCGTCATGTCCGTGATCACATCCGGGACTCCGAACAACCTTCGGTACATCAAAACACAAAAACCCTAATTACGATCGTCACCGAACTTTAAGCGTGCGGACCCTACGGGTTCGAGAACTATGTAGACATGACAGAGACACGTCTCTAGTCAATAACCAATAGAGGAACCTGGATGCTCATATTGGCTCCTACATATTCTACGAAGATCTTTATCGATCAGACCGCATAACAACATACGTTGTTCCTTTCGTCATCGGTATGTTACTTGCCCGAGATTCGATCGTCGGTATATCAATACCTAGTTCAATCTCGTTACCGGCAAGTCTCTTTACTCGTTCCGTAATACATCATCCCGCAACTAACTTATTAGTTGCAATGCTTGCAAGGCTTGAGTGATGTGTATTACCGAGAGGGCCCAGAGATACCTCTCCGACAATCGGAGTGACAAATCCTAATCTGAAATACACCAACCCAACAAGTACCTTTGGAGACACCTGTAGAGCACCTTTATAATCACCCAGTTACGTTGTGACGTTTGGTAGCACACAAAGTGTTTCTCCGGTAAACGGGGGTTGCATAATCTCATAGTCATAGGAACATGTATAAGTTATGAAGAAACCAATAGCAACAAACTAAACGATCAAGTGCTAAGCTAACGGAATGGGTCAAGTCAATCACGTCATTCTCCTAATGATGTGATCCCGTTAATCAAATGACAACTCATGTCTATGGCTAGGAAACATAACCATCTTTGATCAACGAGCTAGTCAAGTAGAGACATACTAGTGATACTCTATTTGTCTATGTATTCACACATGTATTATATTTCCGGTTAATACAATTCTAGCATGAATAATAAACATTTATCATGATATAAGGAAATAAATAATAACTTTTATTATTGCCTCTAGGGCATATTTCCTTCACCGACAACGCGAGCGCCTCCTCCAGGCCCTCCCAGTGCGTGTCCTCGTCGCGCCCGCTCTCCTCCGGGGCGCGCTACGCCGCTGCCTCCAGCATGGCTTGGTAGGCTGCCTCATCCTCCTCCGGCTTGACCTCTGGGAGCCGCTGCTGCTCCGACGTCAGGAGCCCACGGCGCCTGCCCACCTCCTAGGCGACTGCGGCATCGCATGCACCAGGATGCGGTGCGGGTCCAGATGCTAGCCATGGGGTAGGTTAACCTTTGGATAGGGCAGCGGCTAGCGGTATTGTCAGTGCCAGCACGCCTGGTGCACAGGGATGTACAACATATCCCTTTCCCATGGCGGCCCGCCGTGTCGACGAGCCAGCGGCGACGGCAAAGGAGGCGCGCAGGACGAGCTGGCGCCGTGGTAGAGCTTCCCCTTGCTCTTGCTGTACAACCCCATGTCGAGCTAGGGTTTTTGCGCTCGTCGACGAAGGAGCATGCGTGGCCATATATGGACGGGGAAGGGAAGTGGATGAGGCCGGACCCCCGCACGCTTGCATTAAAAAGGACGGCGACCCACAGCTTTCATCCAGTGCCAAGCGGGCCCGAGGTAGGTGGCCGCGGTTAATATGACCGCATGCGGTGGTTGGGCGGCCGATAAATGGCCCCGCGGCGGACGCGCAGTGCGTCCTTATCTTGTCTGAGTGGACGTAAACCGAACGCAAATTTAGGTCTGAAATGCATCCAAATGAACACCGAGAGAACGTGTTTTGGGTTTATATCCCTGCGCGTTGGATCGGTGTTTTGGTCTGTTTCAATCCAGACAGATACGCGCGGTCGCGGACAGTTTGGGTCGCCCGTTGGAGCTGTTCTAAGACAGTCGTGCGCATGCTTCCAAAAAAGAGCGATTGGTGGGAGGTGCCGCACTTAAAACGCATTATTGAGGGGATTAGTGGGGGAGTGACGTCTTTATAATTAATTAACGAACAACAATTTTATGTTAGCCTACATGTCCACCGCCGTTCACGAGAAAGGACAACATCCACCAGCCCTGCCCTCACCCCACAAGGCAACGAGCCGTCCACGAGCGGAGCTCCCCCAAATTCCTCGTCCTCTGACAATGACGGTTCCCACGACGCACCGCCGGCTCCTGGCCGCCGTGGTGGCCCTGCTCCTCGTCTTCGCCTCGTCCGGCGCATTCGCCATGGCGGGGATGAGCGGGCCAATCAAGACGGTGGTGGTGGTGGTGATGGAGAACCGGTCATTCGACCATATGCTGGGCTGGATGAAGCGGCTGAACCCAGCGATCGACGGCGTGACGGGCGCCGAGTGGAACCCGGCAAACACCTCGGACCCCTCGGAGGGGCGCGTCTACTTCGGCGAAGCAGCGCAGTTTGTCGACCCGGACCCGGGCCACTCGTACCCGGAGATCCGGCAGCAGATCTTCGGCTCCGACGACGCCACAGGCCCGCCACGGATGAACGGGTTCGTGCAGCAGGCCCACTCCGTCGGCGGCATCCACATGACGGACGCCGTCATGAACGGGTTCGCGCCCGACAGCGTCGCAGTGTACCGGGAGCTCGTGGCGCAGTTCGCCGTCTGCGACCGATGGTTCGCATCCGTGCCGTCGGCCACCATGCCCAACCGTCTCTTCGTCCACTCCGGCACCTCCGCCGGTGCCACGAGCAACAACCCAGTGTACGTCGCGTATTAACTAATCACTTTAATTATGATTGATGATATGCTTGTTCTATGTACCCGGCAAATGCGTCTTGATTCGTCGTGTGTGTGACTTGGCCAGTCCTGGTCAATGTTTTTTTTTGACGGGCAGTCCTCGTCAATGTTTTGGACACCGAACTACTAGCTCCGTACCAAAATACATGTTTTTTTAGACCTTTTTGGACGGAGGGGGTAATAAGCTTTTTCACCCACCGGCCGCTCGAAATATTTCATGACGTGCTAGGTGTTTATTGGCTGATCTTTTCTTTCTAGGGTACATTGGCTGATCTTTTTATAAGATCAATCGGGTTGTGAGCCGTCGGTCTGCGCCATCAGAGTCAATTGCAAGAAACTACCACATTTGCGGCTAGGTTTGCAGGAATACACCAACTCGTTAATCCGTTGCAAAAAACACCAGAAAATTTGTTAAGTCGTTGCAAAAAGCACTGATCGGATGATTTAGCCTATTTGATCACTTTCTGACAAGTAGGACAGGATAGCAAGAAGCTGACTTGGCAAAGAATTGACACAAACACCCCTGGAATGCAAAACAAAAAGCAATCAACACCCCCCCTCTCTTCATCCCCTTCTTGTTGCTGCTCGCCGCAGTTCGTCGCCTCCCGCCCGACCTACAGTGCCTCCGCCCCTGCCTCCCTTGCAGCCCCATCGGACGACCACCTCCGCCACTTGCCTCAAGACGGTCGCCGTCCTATACGACCACAGCCCGGTTTGCCAACCACAATGGCCGCCTGCGCCGGTGACCCTGCCTGCAGCCTCCCATGGCGCCCCTCGCTGGAGGTCAACGACAAGCTCACGGGGCGTGCTGCTTCTCGTCCTCCCATCGCCGCGCCGGATCACGCCGCCATCCCCATCGTTGAGCTCCGCGCCTCCCGCATGCTCGACGTGCTCCACCGCCGCGAGCTGTCCAGCGACGCAGATCGATCGAGGCGCTTTCGCTCTCCGTGCCGGAGGACAATGGCAGCGGCGAGGGCCAGCCCGTGCTCGATGACTCCGACGACTCCCAAATCCAAGTCGCGCTGCCGATGAGCTCCTCCTCCGCTGCACTCTGCTCCCCGCCACGCTGCCATTTACCTCCTCCTCCGCTCCGGTGCGCGCTGCTCACCGCCGCTGCCGGAAGTCCGCGCCGCCCCTGGCCACGGGGTCGAGCGAGCGCGACGGCCGGACCCCCGGAGACCGCTCCGACGAGGAGGTCGACCACGAGGCGGACACGTCCTCGCCGGATCCTTTGCCGGGCGGGAGTGGTGGAGGCAACGACAGAGGCCCGAGTGCAAGGGGTGGCGGCTGTAGCCTCCTCCCGATCGGATCGAGAGAAGGGGATCGAGAGCAGGGGGTTGATTGCTTTCTATTTTTGGATTCAGGGGTGTGTATGTAATTATTTTGCCAACTCAGCTCCTCACAAATTGGCCCTACCTATCAAAAAGTGATTAAATGGGCCAAATCATCCGATCAGTGCTTTTTGCAACGAGTTAACAGATTTTCCGGTGTTTTTTGCAACGGATTAGCGAGTTGGTGGTTTCCTGCAAACCTAGCCGCAAATGTGGTGGTTTCTTGCAATTGACTCGCGCCATCAAGTGACCAAGTGACGCCCTTCACGTTCACGATAAAATGCAAGTTACATGAACTTTTACAACAGAGGTCATATTAAAAAAACTTTGCAACATGGGTTATATTTCAGAAAACTTTTACAACAGAGGTTATGTTTCAGAAAACTTTTGCAATTGAGATCATGTTGCAGCGAAATCGTCGCCCTCGCATTGTCGTACCGTCGTGTTTCCACTATAATATTCTCCATTACACCCCGATCCGGATCTGAACCTCTACACTCGTCGTGCTGTCGACCTTGTGGTGGCCAGGGACGGGTCAGGAATTGAAGATTGTGTATTCAAATTTTGAATATTCTTTGGAAGCCTATAGCCTTCCTTTTGGCACGTGTAACCAATTATAGAAACATATTGTACTACTAGTTATAAAATATACCAAGTTCAGACACTTATTTTGGGATGGAGAGAGTATAAAAGATAACGCAAAATATATTATATGCATAAAAATTGATCATAACTTGGTGTTGTTCAACATATCTATACCTATCTTGGTCTTTCATGCTATTTTGCAGAAAGCCCCTTGATGTTTCTGATAATCAATCTACAATCAATTTTAAGTCGGATTTTTACCTTTAAAAAAAACTCCCTGATGTTTTTGGTAATCATTACCATAAGCCAGTTATAAGTCAGATTTTTGCTTCTAGTGGAAACCCCTGATAATTGGTTTAATCAACCTCCATTAGATATCAAATGCTGTTTAAAAATACCCATATTTTTTAAACCATAACTTCAATTTTAACATGTTTTATATGAAATTTGATTAGAAAAATACGCCAAATCTAAATATGATGTTATTTTACCTGTTAAACATTAAAAAATGGTATTTAGGATGCAACCTTAATCAATAGCCCATGATTCGTCTTTCTTTCATACAGATGCCAATCCGGATCGGAAATGAACACTTCAGCAAAACTAGGATTATAGGCAAAGAAACCATCTATAACCATGCATGCATGCCTCAACAAAACCCTACTACAAAAAGGAAGATATTTCACTGACAAATTGTTCAACATATTGTGACAAAATCTAAATATATAGAGAATAGAAAATATCAAATGATAAGAAACCTTAGAAATTACGGGATAACTTTGCTATCCTTGATGGTTTGAACATAAGTGATGATGTCCTCGTCCTTGACTTGCAAGAAGAATTCCCTTTCAATGAATGTAACCAAGCAATCATTGAAATATTTTGCCCCATCATGTTTCTCAGCTTGTTTTTTCTATGTATAATTCATTGATGAAAAGACCCTCTCAACACTGGCTCTTGCAATAGGAAGAACTAGCACCAAACCAATTTGAGAAGTTTGTAAACAATCTCATACCGAAAAGGAAAACGCTCGCCTTCAGCCAGCGGATCGCAAGTGGGCGTCCGCCGTCTCGTACGCACGACGCATGTCCTGTGAGGCTCACTTAGAATCATCTCTTGTGTTTTTGCAACTGAGCTCTTGTTGCAGTTTGCCCACTGCAACAGCTTGTGTGTTGCAGGATCTAGATCCTTGATGGTTGTTGCCCGCGGAGCCGAGGTACTCGCTGCCGCTCCCTATCTTCCTCTCGCTCCACTCGCCGCGCCGCCGTATCTAACGACACCACCCTTGCGACATCACCGATGCCGGCTCGAAGCTCCATGGAAGCAATCGCGCTCGCCCGTCGCCGGACTCTATCGCCGTTGTCGAGCTGTGCATGGCCGCCACCGCTTGGATATGCTCGTACCCAGCCCTTCTTTGCACCTCACTGTTCGTCCCGTGTTGCCGGCATGTGTGCTGCCGTTGATTACCAGTTCGCCGCCTCTGCCTGGGAAAAAAGAATTCTGCAACATCACCTTTGTTGCAAAAATATTTTTACAACAAGAACTATGTTGCGAAAAATTCTGCAACAAGTCCTCTGTTGCAAAAAAAGAAATCTTGTTGCAAAATATTTCTGTAACAAGATCTTTGTTGCAAAAAAAAAACTGCAACATCACCTCTGTTGCAAAGGTTTTTACAACATCACGTATGTTAGAAATGTTTCTGCAACATCGCTCTTGTTGCAAGAGAGGTGACGCACATTGGTGAGTAGATCGGATGGCTCCCCGCATCAATCCAACGGCCAGTCGAGCGGTGGATGTATTCTAGTTATCCGCGGCTGACACGTAGCAGCCCCCTACCGAAAAGCCTCCCCTGTTTTAACTTACTTTTGTATGCATGTACTGCAGCGGTAGGTGAATTCAATTGGATTAAGAAATAAGAATTGGGATGAGAGGAGAGGTCCCAATTTCAGAAGTGAAGGATTAATACATTTAATTAGCAATTAGAGCAACTCCAATGGGCCGACCCAAATGGACGGCGTTTTTGTCCGTTTGGGTCGGTCGTCCGTCAGCCGTCCGCCCTCTTTTAGTTTTGGGTCGGCAGTGCGCCCAACAGGCCGACCCATTTCATGACCGCGCGTGTTGCCGTCGCCCTGGTTTTGGCGCTCCAGCGCGCGGGAAAGGTTCGCGCGCGGGGGGGAAAGCGGCCTAGCGCGCGCTGGTTTTGGCGCTCCAGCGTGCGGGAAAGGTTCGCGCGCGCGCCGCGGCCGGCGCTCGCTATAAAGAAGGCGCTCCCTCCACATTCTGTCGGCCGCCCCACTCTCGCCGCCTCTGCGCCATCATGTTGATCCGCCGCCTAGGCGCTTCGGATTTTCGCGGAGTCCGCGAGCGCCGCTCCGGCGGCTTCTCCGCCGAGATCTGGTTTCGCGAGAAACGTCTCGTCCTCGGCACCTTAGACACCGCAGAGGAGGCAGCCCGCGCGCACGACGCGGCGGCATGGCGCCTTCTAAGGCCTCGTCAGGATATGAATTTTCCCAACGTGCCGAGCCAGCGGGCGGAGGATTTGGCGCCTCTCCCGCGGCTTTTCACCGACGAGGATCGTCGTGTCCACCAGAGGCGGCAGCGTCGCCTCGCCATCGCAGAGAAGGACGTGGAAGCCTTGGTGATGTGGCGCGGAGGCTTCCCGCAGGACATCATCGACGAGCGCAAGTTCTACAAGCAATTGAGATCGGAGAGGGACGCGAGAAGGAGGGAGCGAGCCGCCTATCGGGAGGACAAGCGTTCGCGGAAGCAGGCAGCTCAATTGAAACTGAAGCTACGAGAAACGGCTGGTTGGGATTTTAAAGACGAGAAGTATGCTGACGCCTACATTCAGACATCGGAGAAAGACATTACCGAGTCGGAGTCAGAAATCGATGAGTAGTGGTCTTTTCTTTTTATTTGTGTATGCTAGAATTATCTATGTATCCATTTTTATCTGAAAAAATGGTCGGCGGCGTCGGCGACGTAGCAGGTGGGCGAGGGTGTGAATCCAATGTGCCACCGACCAGCGGGCTCGGTGAGAAAAGAGGGCGAGTGCGCGCGTCCGTCTTGTGTCCGCGCCGACGCAAATCAGGCTTAAAAATCTGCGCCGACCCAAACGAACGACCGCGGATGAAATAGGTCGCCCCATTAGAGTTGCTCTTATACCTGAATCCGTGGGTTGTGGCTTTGAAACTGAATTAATGTCTGTGGGTTGCTGCCCGCTGCTAATTGCAGGGATCAAAACCAATGTGATCGGGGGATGGATTCGTTGTGCCGTCGGCGCCGCGGTGCACATGTGTGATCGCCGAGCAGGCGATGGCAATAGCCCTAGCCGGTTCGTCTCCGGTCGTCTGATCTGATCAACTGATTGATGGTCTGCCTGAGTGCGCTACAGTCACTGGGGCCAATGGGCCAAGTCATGGAGTTTTGGCCTGAAATGTTTAACTAGCAGCTTTTAGTGTACAGTTTCGTTTTTCCATTTCCTCATACGTACACAGTATCTATACAATATATATACCTAGTATTTGGCAAAAATAATGAGTATTTAATTAAATACCCTTGAATTGAGGTCAGCCCGCCCTTGGTGGTGGCATGGGGGAGTTGCCAAGAGAAAGCTCTGTGTTTTGTCGTAGACAATGACGTCATCATGATGCTCTTCTCCGTGTCTAGATTTCGGAAGAAAAACTTTATCTGGTGTGGACTCGGCAGCGGCGACGCTCGGCCCCGTTCTCCCTCCTAGGGTGTTGTCACGGAGCTTAGATGATATAGGGCGTAGCGTGGCGTTGTACTAACTTCTTCGTATCATTTGTGTTGGTAGCGTAATTTCGCACGTCTTGTGTGATCGGGTTTCCTGAGATCAACATTATATAAAGACTACCTCACCACCATGCATCATTCGACCGTGTACTTTGTTCAGATGATATTGCTTTATACTATAAAGCAGGCGAAAACATGTATCAAGAACGACATGCACGCTCCTTCCTCTTCCAGAACCCACGATCAAGCTCTAACCAACAACAATTCTATTGTGCCTTGTTACAGCCCATCCCAATTGGCTGGATTGAGTGCGAAACTGCATAATTCAGAGCATATGTGCTTTTCCTTGTTTAAAAAAAATGATGGAAGCTGTTTTGAGTAACCAGAACGACATTGCTATTCTCATCTGAACTGAGGAGAGCACTCTTTGACTCTTTTGAGACCTGAACAGGACAACGAAACTATTCTCTTCGTTCTTAAATATTTGTTTTTTTAAAATTTCAAATGGACTATCACATACGGATGTATATAGACATATTTTAGAATGTAAATTCACTCATTTTGCTTCGTATGTAGTCACTTATGAAAATCTCTAGAAAGACAAATATTTAAAAACCGAGGGAGTAATTCTCATTGCACGATGTTGCAGGTCGCTGGCCAAGGGGTACCCGCAGAGGACGATCTTCGACAACGTCCACGACGCCGGCCTCTCGTTCGGTGTCTACTTCCAGGACGTGCCAACGGTGCTCTTCTACCGCAATCTGCGCAAGCTCAAGTACATCCTCAACTTCCACCACTTCCACAACGCGTTCCGGGAGCACGCCCGCTGCGGCTCCCTCCCAAACTACGCCGTCGTCGAGCAGCGGTACATGGACTCCAAGGAGCACCCAGCCAACGACGACCACCCCTCCCACGACGTCTACCAGGGCCAGATGTTCGTCAAGGAAGTCTACGAGACGCTCCGCGCCAGCCCCCAGTGGAACGAGACGCTCATGATCCTCACCTACGACGAGCACGGCGGGTTCTTTGACCACGTGCCCACGCCGGTCGACGGCGTGCCTAGCCCCGACGATATCATCGGGTCGCCGCCATATAACTTCGCGTTCAACAGACTGGGTGTGCGCGTCCCGGCCATCATGATCTCCCCGTGGATCGAGAAGGGAACAGGTCAGTTGGCGGACACTGAATGCTAGTTACTACAGTGCTTATTGCTCACTCTATGTTGTTTTAGTATAATACTCTCTTCTGTCCTTTTTAATTCGTATATAAAATTTGTCTAAAGTCAAGCCTCGTAAAGTTTGGTTCACTTTATAAAAAAATACCAACATTCACAATATGAAACCAATATCAATAGATGTGTCATGACTTAAATTTTCATATTGTATAACTTTAGCATGCTAGATGTTGATACCTTTTCATATAAATATGATTAAACTTTATGAAGTTTGATTTCAGACAATTTTTATATACGGAGTAAAAAGGACTGAAGGGAGTAATTTTTTTTATCTTTTAGTTGTCCACGGGCCGAACGGAAGTCCAACCCCAACATCACAATACGAGCATTCATCGATCCCCGCGACCGTAAAGAAACTATTCAACCTGACACAGGATTTCCTATCCATCGTTCCATTTGCATATGTAGAACAACTCCCGATGCCGAAGAGGATCCGGCAGATGGAGGCGAATGAGGAGGCAAAGCTAAGCTCGTTCCAGCAAGAGATCGTGCAGCTGGCTGCGGTGCTGAATGGGCACCACCGGCTAAGCAGCCTGCAGGAAAGGATCAAGGAGAGAATGAACGTGAGGGAAGGAACCTCCTACATGAGGAGCGCCATGAGGCGGTTCTTCGAGGCCAGCATGTCGGCCAAGAAGATGGGTGTCACTGACAGCGAGCACATCATCAAGATGAGGCCCTCCCTCACCACAAGGACCTCCTCCTCCGCCCAAGATGATCGTGTGTAGAGAACATACATATATACATACATAGGAGAAAATTGATGTTTGAGATCTCCAAAATTACTAGCACTACATACAGTAGTTGAATGTCCTTGCATTGCCACGGGCTGTCACATTTCTTTTCTTCGATGTCCATTACGCTATGTGTCTCTCCTTATCCCATTATGTTGTCTATCTCTCTCATATTTGATGTGTACAACATGTTGAAGGTAAATCTAGAAGAGACTCCGCGGGCAATCTGCATCAAGTCAACGCTAGCAAAAGGGCCCATACATTGCAACGGGTTGATATACAATTATGGCGTTCAAATCAAACCACTGAGAACATTACACTTACAATGATTGTGTACTATGAATGCCACATCATGTAACAAGGTAAGCGGAGATGAAGGGATTGCCACACCATTGATGGACAGGTCATTCAAGGGCAGGTTAATGATGGCGATCATCCTCTACTTCATGCTGCCTCGTCTCCTCTAGGGCTGCCTATTGTGTGTTCGGTGCCGATGGACGAAGGGGTTAAAAGCAGTACGATGGACGATATTTAAGAGTCCGATGCAAAAACGTATCATATGTTCCTGATAGAAAATGAAAAATCCCCTGATTTTATCACATGGACCTCCCGGCGAGGTCAATGACGAGATGGCATCGGCACCGCCATTAAACCCACTGGAGGAGTGGCCCTCGCAAATGCGAGGGCACCGCCTTTATTGTTTTGGAAATGTAGGAAAACTTATGTTTTTGATATTCTACTGTGACTACTGCATTTTATATCATAAGAAAACAAAAATGTTAAAGGCCTCTTTAGGATGCAGAATTTTAAAACATAAGAATTTGATGCAAGTTCAATGTTATTACTTCTTCTATACATATTGTTATTCTTTTCTCCATAAAATCATCATAGGAAATCCAATCGAAGGTTTATATATAAAATTTCAGAATATCATGTCCCAATATTGTTTATATTTTATTGAAAAGTTAATCTCATATATCCTTTAACTTAGGATATTCATAAGCATTTATACTAAGGCTAAAATAGTAATATGTGCATCGGACTACTAATTTTGGATCTTTTACTATTGAATAATTTATAGAAGTGTCATATATATGGTTATATCCTCGAATAGCCGGGTAATTTATTTATTTTTGGGATCATTCGAGTTGTATTCTCTCAAATTTTTGGATTGTCTATATGCGTTGGTATATATATTTGGAATTTCGCATGTATTCTAGTAGAATAAAGTATGTGCTGTACATATGCATATCTTCTTTAGTTGCTTCATAGTCAATAGTGTAATCATGGCTAAGTTATAACAAATGCAGTATATATGTCTTAAAATGCATACATATTTATGAATAAATGCATGCAGTATACATGTCTTAAAATTTCATGATCAACTGAAGTTTAACCATTTTGGAGAATATATCGTTCTGTTCGATTCAAATACCTAAACAAGTATTGTAATCCCATGGGTCCACCAAATTTTGCCCATCCGGTTATGACATATTTCCTTATCCTTCTATTTGTTCATGATACTGAAGATTCTTCATATTTTTCTTATGAATCAACTGAAAATAACAACATTCTGCTTACTATTTTTTCTTACCCACTGAATGTTCACTTTTTCAATCCTTCATTCTATATTTTCTATATTTTCTATATTTGTAGTCATCAATTGGGCCATCGAGGCCTTCGAGAATCTCATGCGGATGTTCACCAAGTTTTCTCTTTTCTTACACATCTACAACCCCTTTTAAAATCTTGACTACATTTCTAACATAAAAAAATATTAGTGTGTGATTTTTTAACCCATAGAACATGTTCACACAATGAATACTATACCAATAAATTGAGAAATAAAATAATGTCATAAGGTAATGTTAAACCTCTTAGTTTGAAGTTTGAGTATGAATGAGCATTACTCAATTAGAAAACCCTAATTCGCCTTTTCGTAGGTTGGGTTCAAAACCTAGTGTTGACAACTACGCAAAGCAGGGGCGTTCGGTAGGAAATAAGTTCATGGCTTTATTCTCGGGCCTGTCCTACCCTTCCTATCTCTAGTTTATGTGCTGTGCAGGCCATTGCGTTTTTTTTACACACAATCCTACACCACAATGTCAGGTAAGCAATCGGCACAGAATGGTGATGGGATGTTCAACTACGATCCTGTTTTCTCGTGTTTCGTGAGTCATTGTATAGGGGGTCCTTAGCGTCGTCAACTATCATATCATTGCCTACCAAGTTCACTATTTTTTTGGTAACTCTATAATAAGTTGCAACAATCTTTTAAAACTTGGTTACATAGCTCGCCTAATTAAGAAAATGTCAGTCTATGATTTGTGAACATGAAAGCAAATTCACATACTAAGTGATGAAAAAATGAAAGTTTTCTACATGATCATGAAACGTCAAACTCTTTGTTTGAAGTTTAGAAATGCAAGGACATGAAGTAGGAAAAATGTCCCACCTCTTGGTGGAGTGGGTTCAAATGAATAGTGCCCAGTATCCCAAACTTGTGGTGCGTGTGAAATAATAAATTTTTGGATTATTCTCGGTCTCCATCAATTCTATTTTTTGTTTGATACAGGTGTTAGTGTGCACCTGTGACGTCTATGTACTGGTGTGCTCGTGGACATGCATCTTGCATGTATAACCTCAAAGGAAGTTTTAAACTGCATGAACGCACATTCTGTATGCATGTGTGTGTAATTCACATGATGAACTCCAGTCTTGCTAATTCATGCAAATATCAAGCCTAAGTTGGAGCACATTCGCTTTTAATATACCTGACTTAGATCGCAAATACTGCTCATGCAGCTGCAGTTGTGGATGATGATGATGTTTGACTGTAAGTCCACACCGGCTTCTCTAGCTCGTATTAAGAGATGCATGCAGGGACCAATGATGGCTTGCTCATCCATATCGACATACATACACCAATAATAGTTCGTACACATGTGTGGAAATTGGGTCTGTCCTAGTCACTGCACCTACTGCAACATGTCTCGAGCACACGACCGGACAAGCGTATTCCTTCATCTAATGACCACACGTACACGACTGGCAGTAAATTCCGGCGACAAGCCAGGCATAACACCATGGCATGCTCGAACAGGCTGAGTCATGTCAGTTCGCAATAATCCGTAGGATTTATATATGACAACTGAAATCAAGCAAAATATTTTGTAGGAATTTCTAATTTTCATCAGCGATGTTGATCGCTTGATGCATTTTTTTTTTGGAAATGGAGGTATACCCCCAGCCTTTACGATGCATCAGCATTTTTTTTTTTGGAAATGGAGGTATACCCCCAGCATTTTTTTTTGGTTTCCGAACCAAGTGCATCCAGGCTGTCCATCTCTCATCCACTAACGTACATCTGCACTGGATGTTCAAGGGAATAGTTTGAAGGACGATACCTACGTAATCCTCCTTACGTTGCACAATATTATAGAGGGTGGGATATTGTAAGGCCAGAGGCGTCTCTCCTAACCACGTATCCTCCCAAAATCTTGCTGACATCCCGTTGCCAACCAAGAATTTGAACCTACGAAAGAACATATCCTTCGTTCTCATAAGTCCCTTCCAGAACGGCGAATCAGTCGGTCTGATGGTAACATGGGCTAGTGTTTTCGAGTGCAAATACTTATTGCGCAGGATTTGAGACCACATGCCCTCCGGCTCTGTCTCTAACCTGTACAACCATTTGCTCATAAGACACTTATTCTTAATTTCCAAGTTCTCAATACCGAGGGCCCCTTGGTCTTTAGGTCGACAAAGGATATCCCATCGCGCGAGACGGTATTTCCTCTTGGCCTCATCAGACTGCCAAAAGAAATGAGATCTAAAGAAATCAAGTCGCTCTCGGACCCCTTTCAGAATTTCGAAGAACGAAAGTAAAAACATTGGCATGCTAGTCAATACTGAGTTAATCAAAACTAGCCGACCTCCATATGACATCAGCTTGCCCTTCCAGCAGCTGAGTTTTTTTTTCAATTCGTTCTTCAATACATTTCCATTCTTTATTGGATAGCTTACGGTGATGAATCGGAAAGCCCAAGTAATTGAAAGGTAAGGCACCTAATTCGCATCCAAACAATTGCCTGTATGTATGTTCTTCGTCTTTGGCCTTCCCAAAACAGAACACCTCACTCTTATGAAAATTGATTTTTAAGCCAGACAATTGTTCGAATAGACACAAGATAAGTTTCATGTTACGTGCCTTAGCCATGTCATGTTCCATGAACATAATAGTGTCATCGGCATATTGTAGAATGGACACCCCTCCATCAACTAGATGAGGAACTAGACCCTCTACATGGCCATGCTGCTTGGCCCTGCCAATAATTACGGCCAACATATCTGCCACAATATTGAACAAAAGAGGTGACATGGAATCCCCTTGTCTCAACCCCTTATGCGTCTGGAAGTAGTGACCGATGTCATCGTTCACCTTAGTTCCGACACTACCTTTCTGGACTTGAGTATCAACTTGGTTCCTCCAGGTTTCACTAAAACCTTTCATGCGCATTGCCTGCTGAAGAAAAGGCCATTTTACTTTATCACAAGCCTTCTCAAAATTCACTTTGAAGATAACCCCGTCTAGTTTCTTCGAGTGAATCTCATGGAGTGTTTCATGTAAGACGACCACTCCTTCTAGTATGTGTCGTCCCGACATGAAAGTTGTCTGCCTAGGTTGAATCACTGAGTGAGCAATTTGTGTCAATCTATTGGTTCCTACCTTTGTGAATATTTTAAAACTCACATTCAGCAGGCAAATGGGTCGGAATTGTTCGATCTGAACCGCCTCATTCTTCTTAGGTAACAACGTTATCGTACCAAAGTTGAGGTGAAACAACTCCAAATGGCCATCGAAAAAATCGTGAAACATAGGCATAAGATCATCTTTAATGATATGCCAACATTTCTTATAGAATTCAGATGGAAACCCATCTGGTCCCGGAGCTTATTCGGCTTCATTTGGGTTATGGCCAGATGAACTTCTT